CCTCTCTGCTCCTATGATGCTGCTTGGCCTGCTGTGTTCATCCAGCTCTGCACCTTGTTGTCTCGGATTCTCCAGCATCTGCAGTTCCTACTATCTCTAATTCTATAGTTCCCTTCAGTTTAAAGTCTACTTAATTCCTCCACGTGATAAGGCCATTCCAGAAAACTGTCCGGTGAACTTTTGATGTACGTCCTGCAGGGCGAGAAATGTCCATTTTCTTAGACGTAGCGAGAACTGCAGACACTGGAGTCTGAGATAACACAGTGTGGAGCTGGAGGAACACTGCACGCCAGGCAGCATCAGAGGAGCAAAGTTGACCTTTCGAGTTTACACTCTTCATCAGGGCTCACGAAGGACAAAGCGTGTAAGCTCAAAATGTCAACTTTCCTGCTCCTCTGATGCTGCCTCACCTGTTGTGTTCCTCCAGCTCCACACTGTATTGTCCATTTCTGAGGTAAGGAGACCAAAATAGCACACAATTCTCCAGGTGTGGCTTCTTGAATGCTCTGTATAATTATAGTAAGACCTCTTTACTCTCATTTACATCACTACCTTTACAATTAAAGCAACACACCATTCGTTTTCTTTTGACTATGGGACTTTTAATAACCACTTGAAGGTCATCCCATCCAAAACTATGGTACCTCCAACTGTGCAGCACCCTCCCAGTACTGCACTCAACTGAGATTCAGGCTGACTCAATAACGCCACCCCCGCTCCCCCCACCCAACTCCCCCCTCCAAGGGTAGGGCTTCAACCCTCAAACTCTCTGACCGAAGAGTGCGAGGGTGTGGCTCAATGCACAAAAATTTAATAAGCTATCAAAACCAAATGGAACGTTCTCTTGTTTTAAAGGAATGAAAAACAACCATTGCAGTGAATTCCTGAAACCAGCAGAACGAACAAGAATAAGTGACCCAGATTTGTCCTCTCACTCAAAAATGTAAAAGAAAATATGGAGGTGCCAATAGTTCTTCTGACGATTACCATTGCAAATTCAAAAGCTTCACTACAATGCAGTTTGCCTAGCAACCTAACAGCAACGAACCCATTTACAAAACAGATGCAAACTAAAAATCAGACTCCACATTACTGAAGTTGCATAGCCATCGCACAGGGTTATTATATTTCTCAAGAATCGTTGGATCCTTTAACAATGTGTACTATCAGCCCGCCTGGCTCAGATTGTAAAGATTCCAGCCTTGGTGTGTTGTGGGAACTCTAGGCAGCTGGACCTGTGGTTGAGGAGTAGGATGTGGGTGACCATCATCCAAGTATTTTCAGGAAGGTGACTGGAGTGCTCACAAGGTCTGTATTGTCCAAAAGAAGCAGTGGGAAATTCTCAAACAAAGTTTCGCTCATTCCACAGACAATGAAAACTGTCCAAAAGTTGGTTGGGTTGGATTTGTCTTGCTTTTTGTATACAGGACATACGTGGGCAAATTTCCAATTGTCAGGTAGATACCAGTGTTGTAACTGCACTGGAAGAGCTTGGCTAGGGGAGCAACAAGTTCTGGAGCACAAGTCTTTAGCACTACTGCAGGAGTGTTGTCAGGGCTCTCAGCCTTTGTAGTATCCAGTGCCTCCAACTGTTTCTTGATATCAGAATCAGGTTGAAAATGAGCTCTGACAGGAGACACACAAGGCATGCTGCCAGTGATAGCTGACAGATTGAATTGGAATGGAATGGAATTCAGGCTATAGTGAGAGAATCACAATTCTGTCTGTTTATGCTGCAAAAACACCACATGGAATTAGGCAGCATTAAAACCAGCTGTGGGTGAGGAACAGCCCAAACCACAAAAAGGTGCAATAATTAGCAACCTCCCTCACAGAGCTAATAAATGCAGTGTATGTGGGAAATTGAACTGTGCCACTCGTGTCATCATAATGATCGGGCAAATGCAGAGCTCTGCAGTTAAGGCAAAAAGGAGAATTGAGATTTCAAACAGGACTATTCTCTTAAGACTAAAAGGTAACAGCATAAGTAGGCCATTCAGCCCATCAAGGCTGCTCTGCCACTCAATGAGATCATGTTTGATTTCATAATCCTCAACTCCATTCTCCATTCCATACCCCTCAGTTACAAATCTCTGTTTCAGCCTTGAATATACTTAATGATCCAGGCTCTACAGCCCTCTGCAATAACAAGTTCCTCAGATTGACCACCCTCAGAAGAAATTCCTCCTCATCTCAGTCTTAAATGGACAA